CCCACCATCAGGTATACCATTGGATTAGTGGAGAAAGACGTAGACTACCATTCCAACGTAACAGACAACGAACACGCAAGCCTCAATTCTTATCCATTGACACGAGCTCAGCAGACTCCACTTCGGAAACAGACACCAGAACTACCTCAAGCCAAGGAGGGCTCATCAGAGATACACAACAAACCCAATCATCAACTTTTTTAGGGCTGGAACGACACACAAACGATCCCCCTGGCAAATATCAACGCACAAGGAGAGGTTCAAAAGACGCAGATTTATCAGAAGAGGACAGAGGAACAAGATCTATAAATACCAGATCCAAACCACCAACCAGAAGGACATAAATCCAGTCTTCAACCTATCTTCCAAGACGCTGACCAATGCCCACAATCAAGTACTATCCAAAGGACTTACATTCGTTCCGACGGCCAAACCAGACGCATTTAAAACCGGGGTTGAATTGTTCAAAATGAACAGAATTTTAAATATGCAAGCTACTCGTGATACCATGACAGTAAGACCATCCTCATCATTCAAACTCAAAAGCGTTTGGGAACCTAAATACACACATCATGCCATCAAAACCTTCTCCACTATTTTGAAAACTGACATGGACATCATTCTTGCACAACAACAGAAGAAACCGGATAATTTAACCCAGGCAGAAAGAACTGCTCTCAGAGATTTGAGCAGGGATGATCAACTTGTGATTCGAGCAGCAGATAAAGGGGGAGCAATAGTCCTACAGGACTATACGGACTACAGGGAAGAAATTTTAACCCAATTATCTGATACCCAGACATACAGAAAGCTAACTTCTGACCCCACGAGTAAGATCAGCACCAAAATACAGGAGTGGATAACATTGGGAACAGCAGCAAATTGGCTGGATCACAGCACAGCGGAATATTTGCTCAATACACATCCGAAAATTCCGATCCTTTACACACTCCCTAAGATACACAAGGACGCAAAGAAACCACCTGGGAAACCAATTGTATCCGCTCGAGGAGGTTTACTGGAACCCATAGCTAAATACGTGGATTTTTATTGTAAGTCCACAGTCTCCAGATTATCCACATGCCTAAGGGATACCCAAGACTTCCTTAATAAAATCACCAGCTGTGAATTAAACGACACACAGTACATCTTCACCACGGCAGATGTAAAAAATTTGTACACGGTGATTCCTCACAATATGGGGATGGATGCGATGCGAACACTGCTATTACAATCAGATGTCTATGAAGGTCTCCCCATTGAATTTTTGTTAGAAGGATTACTACTTACATTGACAAACAATTATTTTCGTTTTGAAAAGAATTTCTACATTCAAGAGATGGGAACTGCGATGGGATCGGCAATAGCTCCAACATATGCGAATAGTTTTATGTATGCATATGAGAGCAGACACATTCTGTCCACATATAAGGAACATTTGATACAGTATCACAGGTTTGTGGACGACATCTTTATTTTATGGCAAGGCACGGCAATAGAATTGGAGAAGATGATTGAAGAACTGAACAATTTAAACTCCACCATTAAATTTACTTTGACGTACAGCCCAGATAAAATCCAATTCTTGGATGTGGAGATATTCCGGAAGGATCGAAACATTGGACATCGATTATTTAGAAAACCCTCAGACCGCAACACGCTGCTACACGCCAACAGCGCTCATCCCAAAGCCCTAAAGGAGTCTTTACCTATTTCGCAATACTTAAGAGTGTACAGGAATAATTCGGAGGAAAGCACATGTAAAACTCAACTAGAGGACATGACCAGATCCTTTGTGGAACGAGGATACACATATAAAGTGCTCCAAGAATGTCAAATAAAAGCAGAAAATATATACAGGGGCATATCTACTAAACAACTTCAAAATCTGCCCAGAATTACGATCCCTTTATCATACCACACGGAGAGCCAGAGATTTTCCCACAGGATTAAAGGGAGATGGGACATCTTATCCAGCGACAGAACACTTAATCCGTTTTTTTTACAGAAACCAAGGGTCGCATATTCACGCAACTGAAACTTGAAGGACATTTTAGTAAAAACAGATATACCGAGCCAATATAATACACGAACATTGCATACCAAGAAAGGCTGTTTCAAGTGTTCAGGTTGCGTCACCTGTGGACACATGCTGACAGGCTCTTCCTTTGCACATCCCCACACAGGCAAAAGAATCCAGATCAAACATCGACTAACCTGCATGAGTGACCATGTAGTATACCTCATTTCATGCCCATGTGGGAAATATTATGTGGGTAAAACAGACCTTACAGTAAGGGACCGTATTCGTGGTCACAGATCAGGAATCATGACGGCGTACCGGGATGGGAAGACTGATAAACCTGTGGCAAAACACTTCCTAGATTTCCAACACCATTTACCCACGCTTAAGTTCATTATGATAGACCACATCCCACGGAGGCGACAGATCAAAGTTACTTTTACAAAGGGAAACCTTTTGGATCACACATCTGGATACGGTCCAACCGAAAGGATTAAACGAATACAACTCATTTAGTTGTTTTTTGGATATCCGTTGATATCGCTGAGCAGTAAATGACTTGGATGTGAGATTTTGACTCAGGATTTAATGACCATCCCATAATAAAGAGGACATTGTGAATTATTTCCATCTGATTTCCTGCCGGTGGGAGTTACAATACAGAGCTGCAAGAAAGGGTTGTGGACTTCCAATTGGTGATTGGGGATAGTACATACATCTAGGCACTTTTGGCTTTTTGATAAATACCCAGTGACATAAGGTTCTTATAGTAGGACCCTCTCTCCTTTTACCTAATTTTTCTCTTTTCCATTACCTAGCATGCCGATCTTGGAGGCTGCACTGGCATATAGTTAGTAGGATCACTGTTACATTTTTTATTGTTTATTTTCTCTTTATTGTTTATTTTTACTATTTTTATTTTTTGTTATTTTTATTTTTATTTTTTTTATTTATTTTGATATTTATTTTTATTTTATTGTATTTTGTATATATTTTTTATTTCATTTTATTTATTTATTTATTTATTTATATTTTTTTATTGCATTCTTACCTTTCTGACAGTGCATTCTCATTATTCACGAGGGCTCATTACACTTTTAGTGCATGTTTCAGCTGCACAGTCTTTTTCACTTTTCATTGATTGTCTCATTTCTAGAGGTCAGGCAGTATACTCAAATTTTTTACTACATTATTTCACACACACACACCGGAGAATGATCTTAGTAGCACACACACACTCTTCTCTACAGTGTTTCACATACATACCGTAGATTGATTTAGTACAGGATTTTCCCATTCTTGCTTTATTTTTTACTAGTTTGGAATTCACACATACTGATTTGTCACTCACCATTTAATATTCCCTGTGTTTATTTATTTCATCACACACATGCTGATCACTCTACACTATAAATGGACCCCAGTAGATAAAGGGTCAACATCACACACACTCTCTGTTATATACTGACAACTCACATTATGCTAAGCCAGCCTGTTTTCTGTAATTGATGCCTGTTCTTATTGTTTAGGTTTGTGATTTGGCAACACACATGGCTTTCCCAGCTAGGGTTCCCAATTTAATAAGGAGTTAGGTAGTATTTGAGTTAGCTCTATTAGGCTACACAGGTCCACAGTTACCAATACACCAGTCTTTCTAACTGAGTCCCTATATGAGCAATCGTTTCTAGCCATTCCTGGCTCACTCTAGTATCCTACGATCAGTTAGGCAGTTGCTTAGACATTTATGAAAACACATATGCAACATATAATTTTATTTATCCTCCGTATTGATTTTAAATCTCTGCCGACATTTGGTTTTTAAACAGCTGTGCCGTCTCTAGGCAACACATGGTGATTTCACCACACGTCACTTTACGGCAATTAACATAACGATCCACAATTTGCGGCTTCACTCATATGGCAGATTGGACACACAGGGAGCACTTGGTGATTGGGTAAGTTTAACAAGCGTTTATGTATATATTTGAGGTTTTTGTATATGACAGCATCTTGATAAAGACCGCTAGACGGTCGAAACGTCGATTTTTTTTTGTGCTATTTGAATACAGTAATTTGATTTACCAAATCCATGGAGTGCTCTCATTTTTTGCTTTGTTTATATATATATATATATATATATATATATATATATATATATGTAACGTCATTCTAAGTATATTTTAATACTAATATATATGCTTATATGAGTATTAAAATACACAACGTATGACGAGAGATATATATATATATATATATATATTATACATATAATATATATACATATATTATATATATAAATGTATTTAATTTATTTTAAAACATGTCTAATTTTATTTTTTTACATTTACTACCAGCAGGGGGACTGTCTGATATTTCAGACAGTCCCCCTGCTGGCAGATCCACAGCCAGCTATAGGGGGCCATGTGATCGCTCTTTGAGAGCGATCACATGGCCCCCGGGGGCCTCACTTGCCGGAGGAGGGCTGCCTGGGCGGTCTGGCAGCCCTGCCAAAGAGGATCGCAGCGAAGGTAAGTAGCTGCGATCCCCTGGGGCAGAAAGCCGTTACGGCGTTCTATGCCGCCGCAACGGCTTTAAAGAACGCCGTAACGGCGTTAAGGGGTTAATGGTCTATGTGGATGTATGTTGGTGGGTCTGTCAGCCAATACTCCAGTATTAAAAGGATCTAAATAAATAAAATACAATAAGCCTTAGTTTATTTTATGCATAAATGACTACAAAATAAATGTGTAGAATTTTTAAACACATCAACATAGAAAATTTACAACCTTGTGAGGCGACCGTGAGCCTTCTTTGTAACCCATTTTCATTTGTTGTCAGACTGATTTGTGCCTGAAACATGAAAGTATTTGAACGCTGATATGGATTAATGAGCACCTTTCCCCCTTATATCCTGTGTCACACAACACAGTTGACTGAGTAATGTCAGGATGCTCTATTATAACAGCTGGCCTTTGATCCTGATTTGTATCTTCTACTTGTTTCCCCCCCTACACTGCATATCCTGTTAACACCTTGTTGGGAAGTGTTTGTTTAATCAAGTAACAGCTCTTGACCAGCTAATGCCAAATGTGGTTTAAGTTCTTTTAATATGCGATTGACAGGACATGACTGTATTATGTGAAGACAACCCCTTTTTGGATGTGTACAGAATTTTGTTATAAGATTTGTGTTCTCCCCATTAAAATTAGGTGTAGTATTCTGCCATACACTTGTGTGAATGAGTACTGCCTGCCGAGCTCGTATTTCTGCTGTGTCCATTCCTTGTCTTCATACCTGAGAGAAAACATTGCTGTCTGCTGAATTTAAACCACAACAATATGGTGTCAGAAGTGGAGAGAATCCAAATCGGGTAAGAACGTTTTCTGTTTTATTTTTGTGTTCCTTGCCTTGTTTGGATTCTCTGAACATTTTTTTTTTTTTTTTGTGGTTGCAGAAAAGTGATGTGTTTTTTGTTTTGCTTTTTGTTTTTGTTGTACTCTCAGAAGTTAAAAGGGTTTGAGTCCCCAAGTAGCTGTGCAATATAATATTTTTCATAATATTGTATTTTATTACAGCATACTTTATTATGTTATGGGTTAGAGTCCCATGTTAAGTTGTATAAGAGAAAAATTTGATATTTTATGTGTTAGAGTCCCATCTTACCGGTAAGTTCTATATACAGGGAGTGCAGAATTATTAGGCAAATGAGTATTTTGACCACATCATCCTCTTTATGCATGTTGTCTTACTCCAAGCTGTATAGGCTCGAAAGCCTACTACCAATTAAGCATATTAGGTGATGTGCATCTCTGTAATGAGAAGGGGTGTGGTCTAATGACATCAACACCCTATATCAGGTATGCATAATTATTAGGCAACTTCCTTTCCTTTGGTAAAATGGGTCAAAAGAAGGACTTGACAGGCTCAGAAAAGTCAAAAATAGTGAGATATCTTGCAGAGGGGTGCAGCACTCTTAAAATTGCAAAGCTTCTGAAGCGTGATCATCGAACAATCAAGCGTTTCATTCAAAATAGTCAACAGGGTCGCAAGAAGCGTGTGGAAAAACCAAGGTGCAAAATAACTGCCCATGAACTGAGAAAAGTCAAGCGTGCAGCTGCCACGATGCCACTTGCCACCAGTTTGGCCATATTTCAGAGCTGCAACATCACTGGAGTGCCCAAAAGCACAAGGTGTGCAATACTCAGAGACATGGCCAAGGTAAGAAAGGCTGAAAGACGACCACCACTGAACAAGACACACAAGCTGAAACGTCAAGACTGGGCCAAGAAATATCTCAAGACTGATTTTTCTAAGGTTTTATGGACTGATGAAATGAGAGTGAGTCTTGATGGGCCAGATGGATGGGCCCGTGGCTGGATTGGTAAAGGGCAGAGAGCTCCAGTCCGACTCAGACGCCAGCAAGGTGGAGGTGGAGTACTGGTTTGGGCTGGTATCATCAAAGATGAGCTTGTGGGGCCTTTTCGGGTTGAGGATGGAGTCAAGCTCAACTCCCAGTCCTACTGCCAGTTCCTGGAAGACACCTTCTTCAAGCAGTGGTACAGGAAGAAGTCTGCATCCTTCAAGAAAAACATGATTTTCATGCAGGACAATGCTCCATCACACGCGTCCAAGTACTCCACAGCGTGGCTGGCAAGAAAGGGTATAAAAGAAGAAAATCTAATGACATGGCCTCCTTGTTCACCTGATCTGAACCCCATTGAGAACCTGTGGTCCATCATCAAATGTGAGATTTACAAGGAAGGAAAACAGTACACCTCTCTGAACAGTGTCTGGGAGGCTGTGGTTGCTGCTGCACGCAATGTTGATGGTGAACAGATCAAAACACTGACAGAATCCATGGATGGAGTGTCCTTGCAAAGAAAGGTGGCTATATTGGTCACTGATTTGTTTTTGTTTTGTTTTTGAATGTCAGAAATGTATATTTGTGAATGTTGAGATGTTATATTGGTTTCACTGGTAATAATAAATAATTAAAATGGGTATATATTTGTTTT